CTGCAGTGGGCATTGCCAGAGGCATAACTGCCAGTCCAACAATGCCACCTGCCAGCATTGCTGGAATGTGTGTGACCTGGGTTGTAGCTCAGATTTTGTTCCTAAGTCTGTGCCAGAGCCTGTTTATGCACACCGTTTTAGAAAAAGGGATGTGATCCATCCAGCGCAGTAGAAATGGCTGCTAATAACCTACTTGCTTTCTATGTTTAAATATTCCTAGCTTGTTGACCTTTTGGGACTACTGGAGAGTCCACAAGAGTAAGTGGGGAACTTACATCTCAGCACAGGATGTTTAAGGAAAGAAATAGGAGGGCTGTGGAGGACCTACCGTGGTTTGTGATGCTGGGGCATATGTAGAAGTCATGATGAGGGAGGATTTAAAATGCTTTGTTTCACTTTTGAAAGTATTTTGGGGCATTTTGTATTACTTTCCCTTTGACCTGATGGCAGAATTGCCTGCCGCTTGGAACTGACATTTTAACTGTTACATTTGTTTAAACCCAATCTGGGATAACTGAAAAAAAATGAATTTGGCACAGGAAGATTAGGCTACAGATTGTGCCCTGATGTTGACTATACAGGGAGAATATACTTGACAGTATTCTCCTATAAGCATTCAACGAGAATCAGTGTAACTCAAAAATAGCAAAAGTTAAAAATTACCTCAAAGTGCAATCCACAAATAACTGACAGGATTGGGCTCAAAGAGAGAAAGTATGTGCAGGATTTAGCGCAGATTCTTCAGCAGCAGACATCATTTGACATTCATAAGTCTCCAGAATAATTAGGGGCTTGGTGAAGGACATCACAGATACCACAGGTAGAAGCCCATCTTGTCTGTGAACATCTTGAGCCTTCAACCAAGTGGTCAGGTATGCCAGCAGTGCCAGCAGCTCCCCAGCGATGTGATTTCAATAACCTATGGCAAAGACTTCTATGCTGTTCATTGTAGGTGCAATTAAAACTGGTGTGAAGTTGGTGCAATCTCCCCGTGTTTGGACACCAGTCTTCAACCTGTGCACGAGACAGACCAAAAGGAACTCCACTGTTCATATCAGGGAAGTCCTTTCAGGTCTGACTGGTCTGTAGTCAGTGTAACACAAATCAGTTTTGCTTATTACCTGGGGTACAGATATTTGTACAAACCAAGAAAACTGAAAGCATCCCCCTAAGAAGGGAGCTGCAGCAGAGTCTAGAGAGGTGTCCTCTGACTTAGAGAGGACCTTGGTTGAGAAAGTACCAATAAAGCAGTGAGAATTGCAGACAGCACCTCAGCAAGGGGTTTTCAGGGAGGGATTAAAGCAATACATGCTGTTGATGTAGCAGGGTGTCTCTCTGCTGTTGGAGGGACACAGCTTGTTCCCCTGCTTGACCCCTGCAACCATTGTGCCCATACCCACCACTTAGTGCAGTGCCTTCCAGTGCATGGCTCTAGCTAGCCATGGAGAGACCTCATTGTATGAGTGAGCTGCAACAGCCCTGAAGGTATCACCCTCATGGAGACCTGGCTACCTCATCTCACTTGGACCATCAGCTTACCTCATCTTTGGTATGTCTGGTGGGACAAGCAAGTAACTGGAACATGTGGAGTCCAGATCATGTGGAAATGGTTCTCAGGAACTATGCAGCTTGCCCTGACGCCCATCCTCCAAGGGCAGCCAGAAAATCTCTGCAGGGACTCTGAGCAGCCCTGGTCAGGAGAAGTCCATAATTCTCTTCTGGGAGCTGGCAAGGGTCATGGGATGGGCCAGGGCATTCAGATAGTGCCCCAGCGTGGATAGGACAAGCTGGGTTATGGCCAGCACCTGCCTTCAAAGAGAAAGGCACCACATCAGCCTTGCCCACCCTTGCAATATATATGATTACTGAACCCTAGTTCATCCCAGTTGGACTCAGGAGAGGGGCTGATAGCAGAGCGCTAGATGGGCAGATACAGCAGCAGATACAGGCCGGGAATGCACAGGGCGGAGGGAGTCAGGTGCCCCCCATTCTTAGCTGCCAGCTCTGAACCCTTGACCCAATTGCTCCAAGTGTAAAACACCTCATGAGCGCTGGAAACACCTTGAGTTTCTAGATGAGAAACCATGAGCTGCTACTGCATCTGGACCCAGGAGACGAAAAGACACAGCAGCGCATAAACATCTCCATTTAACAAGCTGTTGGAAGACTGAGAGGCCACTCCTCGTGGATTATGGAAGCATTCATGAAAAGATTTCCACCTTCTGTGAAAAGAAGAGCAAACTTATCATTTCCCCCCATTTGGGTGAGGGTCTCTGGAGTTTCCAAAGAGCTGGACTAATTCCTTTAGGATGAAGTTTGATGCAATGCCAAATGATTTTCTCTTCAAAACCTGTTCTTCTGGAAAATAAATGATGGAGAAGAAGATGAATAATTTATTATTCACTCATTTAAAAAGAAGCTGTTGCCAATGGTTTAGTCAGATGCAGTGCCTTTGGCCAGTAAAGATAATAAAGGAATAAAGGATTAGTCATCAATAGTGTACTGAAAGAAAAAGGTCAAATTTTTCATTGGTCTAAATCCAAAAGGCCAGGTTTTGTTCTGTTACTCTAAAACAGTGGCTGTTAGTTCCCCTTTGATTTTCATACTGCAAAATAATTCCAGCAGGGATGCAGACTCTTCCATGGAACCTATTATATGTCCCCACTCTATCTCTGTTGCTTGTTCAAGACCCATCAGGAATAGTTTGTACACCCTCAAGTACCTATGTAGTACAAGCTGACAAGTGCTGTATTAAAGGCTTAGGGCGTTGTTCAGACACAGAGAACTGAATCTGGCCTCTTGATTTACAGACCCAAGGAGATTTCCTTGGAGGAGCTGCTCCTCAGCAAAGATTCTTGGATGAAATCCTGACTTGGATTTTCAAACTGCTGTGAGTGGGATTTCAGTGATGCCAGGATTTCACTCCCTCAGCAATAACAAAAAAGCTGATGTCCCCTGACTCCTTGCAACTGTACTTACAATTTGCATGCAGGTTCTTTCTGTCCTGCTTCCACTGCACCCATGGTAGATAAACAGGTCTATGGCTGATTTTTGTCTTCCTTTTACTGCAGGGTAAGTCACCTTTCAAGGGCTTATAACCTTTCTCCTGCAACAACAGCATCAAGAAGCACCATGGCAACAATCAACTTTGCTGGGAGCTGAGAAATACCAGCTCATGCTAGAAGCTTCTGTTCGCATCAGCTGTAAAAATTAAGAGACTCTCAAACGTGACTGGTTTTGACAAAGGATAAAGCAGTGCAAATCCCATTCCAATCTGTTGTATAAATTCCCCTACTAAACTCACTTTGTGTGGGTTGATATCATCCTCTCTTCTATACATTTTGCTTCCCCTGAGTTTCCATTTGCAATTTTCCCACTTTTTCTCATCGCTGTTCAAGACCAATTTGTCAATATTACTTCAGCAGGCAGGTCGGATTGCTAAACGTGCTACTTGTACCTCCAGCATCCCATTCCCAAAGGGCAAACCAACGATTAATGGTAACATTATTCCAAAGAGCATTGCTTTCCACGCTGTAATAAATATGACAAATGTGATACCACTGTCTGAAAAATATTTTCCATACCCCTTAGATTTCACAATATTTAGAAACATTCAGCACTTCTATACCACAACTGTCTTAATTGCTGGAAATCTGCTTTACCTTGCTTTGGAACAGGGAATACATTAACACGTTGGTGCTTGTACTCTGCATACTCACTTTCAGGCATGCTTAGTATGATTTAATCTGAGTTTATAGTGCTATGACATTCTATGCCTCAGCTTGCTTAAGTTGGTATTGGCAACCCGGGATGTGGATTACTTACCAACAATACCTACATACTGGTATGATGGGCACCATCCAAAGCCCAAGAGGACAAATGAATGAGATTAAGAGTGTATATTTTAGCACATACAGAACCTAATTGGACAGGTAAGAAAATACCTAAAACATATGAACATAACTCTCCATTTCACTCTCCTAAGGATGATATGGGTCGTTCAAAGTGTCCAAAGTATCAAGGGGGATGTGACCCCTTGAACCAAAGATATATGGAAATTAAAAGTATACAAGCACAAATTATTTGCTCTACACACATTAATGGCAGTGTTGGCACTGCTTGTTTCCAAGGAAGTCTTTGGTGCTGGAGCTGCATGGAAATCTTGGTGTTTTGTATATTAAACTTAGGGCTTTAGCTCTTCTTATTTTAAATAAAAGTTTGAAAGCACGGAGGAGAGGCAGGGATTGGAGGCAGAGCAGCTCCCCCAAGCTGCCAACAACATTGCTCTGCCTCTGCATCAAAGTGTCTCAGCAGAGCTGCTATGTTTGGAGATGTGCAGAAGTCTCTGAGTGGAGCAGAAGACACTGGGAAAGGGGATTACAGCTCAGGCACTATACTGAGGGGAATGAGAGAGCCAGAGGGGTCTCAGCACTGCCTTCAACTCCATCTGCCATCATGGCTTAAAGCCCTAAGGAATTGGTCCTTGTAGTGGGATCAGGAATGTTTTCTCCATAACAGAGCTCCTCCTCAGTGCTTGTGGTATAGTGATACTCATTTGGGAAATCAATATTGCAACTGTACTGCCTCTCACTACTTTAGTTCGAACATTAGCATGTCTATGTGCCTCCTTTGCTCAGTCTGGCACATTACAGCAAGGTCTTCAAAAGAAAATGCTGCTTGTGGGCACAAGTTCCTCAATTTACCAATAAGGGAATGGAAGGCAGAGAGACATTCCTGAGGTGGTAGTGAATCTAGATGAGACTTCTAGCCTCCCACCTTGCGCGCAGTCCTGAAGGACCAGAAAAAAATTGGTATCTGCAGTATTTCTTGTTTCCACTAGTTGCTGATCTTACTTTGTTGCAGTTGTTCCATTTTTTTATCTTTATTGAGCTTTTTTATATTTTGTGTGTTGTTAATAGGTTTTTTACTTACAGCAGATAAATTGCAAATGCAATGTTATCATAAGTAACATGCTGACTTTGTTTTCTTATCTACCTTAGGACATTTATTTACCCCTTCTTCACTAGAGGCAGACCTTTCCCACTGCAATTGCTTTTCTTTGGCACGTTATTCTGTATCTATAATGGCTTCCTCCAGGGGTACTACCTGATTTACTGCGCTGAATATCCAAATGACTGGTGCACTGACATCAGATTTACATCAGGTAATTACAGCTGCAGGATTCCCAGGATCTAATCTCCAAGCAATTTGTAAACATTTTGAATTACGTCCTAATCTTCATTGCACATGTGAGTCAAATCAGTTGTGACGGAAATCAGCACAACACCAGCCTGCTGGCCCAGGCAGTAGAAATAAATGTGCAATTCTTTCTTTTGCTGCTAGGCGGTCACCTTTGAATGGGTACAATGTTATTTGTTAGTCTCAAATCACCAGCCTTGTTTTACTGACACCACTCCAGAGCCTCCCATTGCTACAGGCTATGGAGATGCAATCTCAGGCCTCAGCTGCATGGGGATGTGCCCTTGCTCAGCCAGAAGTGTCTACCCAGCAGCGGCTGTGTGCAAGCACAAACTGCCTTTCTCTTCCCCAACAGGGAGCTTTGCACTTGATGCAGCTACTCTAAGAGAGAAAAGAAGGGCAAAACCCCAGCATAAATGAGGCTTTAGAGACAAAGAGCTCTTTTTTCTCACGTAAGGCATATGGGAAGATTAGAGATCACGCACAGTCTGTTTGTGTGTTAATATGGTTCCTTTCCATTCTGTAACTTAACAGCCTAGCTGAATTTCACCCTGTAAAATCCCTGAAAGAATAACTGAGCAAAAGCAGCTAGGTGGTATTGTATATTAAGTGCTGCACAGAGGATGTTTTTTAAATCCACACATAGAAATGAAGATTAGCATGCAGGGCTGAGGAAATGTTTTGGATACAAGAAGTACAAAATAACCAAGGTAATTTTTGCACCCTGTTTCAGACTGTCGATGCAAGTTCAGTCTTTTCAGACAGCATCACATATTAAAAATCCCAGACATTGATTAGTAACAGCTCTCACATCACATAATTTGCATGATAAATAAAACATTTATTTAATGAGGAAAAAAATCAACATTATCAGTACTTGAAATAAAAAATAAAAACCAAATTATGTTCCTCCTCTACAGACTCTTACCAACCTTCTGTTGCTACCTGAAGTGTTGAGGTTTTATCAGCACTTAGTCTTTTTTCTATACTTCGTAGCTCACAATGCATCTATTTCTCTCCTTGTTTCCTGATCATCATCAGAGGGGTTTTCCCAGTGTCTAATGTGCCATGAAATGTAGGGCATGTCACCTGCAGAGTTTCTCAATAAAATACCTCTAGGTTTTCAGCTAAACTGGCCATACTGACAGCTTTCTGGCCAGAACCTGTCAGCATCCTTAAGTAACTGCTCCATGTGCACATCCATCACTCTGTCCAAGCAGCCTCACTGTCAGTGGACTGAGCTGCACTGAGATACAGGCTGCCTCCCTGGCTCTGGTGATGTGCTGCATAAGTTTGTGTTCTCTGTGCTCCTCTTTCCTCAGCTGTAAAATGAGAGGTATGGTACTTGCCTACAGCTCAGTCATCACTTTGCAGTAATGTCCACAGCCCTGGCTGGCTGCCATCAGCCATTGGTGACACTTGGGTACTTTGTGCCCTAGCTTGATGTTCAGTAAAGGGTGTCAATGGCCAACTGGGACGTTCAGCTTTTTCTCACACCACCTCAAAGTGCTCTGATCTGGTACTGCATTCAGCTCTGGGGCCCCCAACATGAGAAGGATGTGGACTTGTTGGAGTGAGTCCAAGGGGCCATGAAGGTGACCAGAGGGCTGGAGCACCTCTCCTATGAAGAAAGGCTGAGAGAGCTGGGAATGTTCAGCCTGGAGAAGAGAAGGCTCAGGGTGACCTTATTGCAGCCTTTCAGGTACTGGAAGGGAGAGGGACTTTTTATTAGAGCAAGTAGTGACAAGACAAGAGGATATGGCTTTAAACTGAAAGAGGGTAGGTTTAGATTAGACATTAGGAAGAAGTTCTTCATCATGAGGGTGGTGAGACACTGGCACAGGTTGCCCAGAGGAGCTGTGGCTGCCCCATCCCTGGCAGTGTTCAAGGCCAGGCTGGACGGGGCTTTGAGCAACCTGGTCTAGTGGAAGCTGTCCCTGGCCATGGCAGTGGGACTGGAGCCAGATGATCTTTAAGGTTCAGTCTAACCCAAACCATTCTTATTCTGTGGTCTCGCCAACAAAACAGTGTGCTCAGGATGGTCATTGTTTGCCCAGAGTTGCTCTCCACACTGAGGCTATCCAGTGCAGCTGATCTCAGAAGACTGTGATCCCACAACTGACACAGTGATACAGGGTTATTTGTCATCAGTCACCTATGCTTCTCCCGTTCAGTAGCAGCCTTCTCAGTAGCAGAGCATCTTTACATTTGAGAAAGTATCCACCCACCTCAAATTAGGTCTCCTATCTGCCTTCTCCAAAGATAAACCTCACATATGTGCTTGAGTAGCAATAATTAGGTAGAGCTGTCTTTCTAATCCATTTCTTGTTTGTTTCTTAGGCCTCCTCTTATTTTTGCTGGGAATGGGAATCAACATTCACAGTGATCTCCTGCTGCGCCAGCTGAGGAAACCCGGGGAAGTCACTTACAAGATTCCTCAAGGTATATTCTCACCCCCCACCCCCTTGGAGAAAGTAGGGCAGCAGGATAGATAATGTTTTCTGACTGAATTCACAGCAAAGTGACAATATCAGAGATGTCAGTATCGCACAAGTACTTGCTTCAGGTGCCCCTCTGAGCTGCAGGGACTGGCATGAGCTGCCTGCAGACAGTCCGCAAGAAGCAAACAAGAGTATGTGGAACACACAAGCTGTTTGGAGAGGTTTTAGGAAATGGGCTGGGTAATTTAAAGAAGATTTAAGTGGGACATAGAAAGAGGATTTTAGCCTTGTAAAAGGAGCCTGCACAGAAGGAAATATTCTTCTCCGTGCCCAGGAAGAAGCAGTGGGCTTCTTACATTGCAAAAGAGAGATTCAAAGCGTAATCATTAGGAGAAAAAAAAACAACACTGAGGGTGCAAGGGGCAGAATTTCCTTTCCATCTCCTTCAAAGTGGGGCTTGGTGAGGAAGAGTGGCTGTGGGCCAGGCCAGTGAACCAGGGCCTGAAGAGAGCTGACTAATGTTACTAATTTAAATTCAAATGTAATCATGGGCTTTCCTAAGTCCTTTCTTTCAAATGAAAATAGGTGATTGTGAAAGTGCTGGAAGCCTTTGGGTTCGAATCACCTTTGATTCTGGTACGGGAGTCTTGTACAAGACCCTCCTTTGGCATGATTCCACTAGTTTCAGGGCAGTGGGTTTAGGTTGCTGTTATGGGCTCTGCATAAAGAAAGGCAGCATATTCTGCTGCTGGCTTTACGGGAAAGAGCTTTCCATGTGCATGAGATGACTGTAAAAATTACATCTTTTGTCTGTTGATGCAGGGGGACTGTTCACCTATGTTTCTGGAGCCAACTACTTCGGAGAAATTGTGGAGTGGTTTGGTTTTGCCATAGCAACCTGGTCCTTACCAGCCTTTGCCTTTGCCTTTTTTACTCTTTGCTGCATCGGGCCACGTGCTTATCACCATCACAGGTATCAAATTGTTCCTTCCATATACTGCTGCTTGCTGTTGGGGTTCAGATTGCAAAATTCCAGGGAGGAGCAGAGGAGCAGGGCCAGTGTTCAAGATAAAAATTAAATTTAATAGTATGTACAAGAAGTATATTGGCTTGTTCGTGATTGAGTGAAAGTAAGGCAGTGGGCTGGAGCTTCTGTTGAGTCAAGTGGGCCTGATCGTCATTTAATCTGACATAAGATACATCACCATTGAAGCCCCATGTCGAAGCCCCTTTTTATTGAGCCTAAGGGTTTCCTTGCAACCTTTGCAGTCTTTTGGGGTAGATATGGTTCTCTGCTTTGAATTCCTAAGGTTTCTACTTTAGGTCTGATGATAGAACCTTAACAGTATTATCAGCTTCCACTCAGTTAAATAACCTGGTGTAAATACTTTTGGAACCCTCTTTTGCAGAGCAACACATATAGAGATTTCAAAGCAAGGCAGTTTGGAGGAGTTTTAAGGTTCCTCAGCTGAGCTGTATTAAAATTGTGGAGTTTCCTTGTATGTGTGCAGGTTCACTCTCTTGCTTATTTTCTTTCAGGTACTATCTCAAGACATTTACGGACTATCCAAAATCAAGGAAAGCCTTGATTCCCTTTGTTTTTTAATGATGAAAATATGGACTCTGTGTTCTGTTTTTATAGGGCTTTTTTCAATTCCTAGTTTTAATGTTAGGTCTGATTATAATTAATTGTACAAATGATAACCTGGGTTTGTAACAGACAATAAGGTAATTTGGAACTGAAGTTTACGTTTTCAGTTACAGGGGAAATTGCAAATAGTTGTGGGCAAAGGGACTCCCCAAACAACATGTTTGTTTTCAGTGGAGTTCTGCCTACAGAAAATGGATATATAACTGCACTGACATCAGACAAAAAGCATTTGCTAGAAACTCATGCAGAAAAGTATAAAGTAAGCCCATGACTTCAGAGAAAGTCTTCAGCAGCCACTCCAATGTATAGCACTTCTGCAGCTGCTTCTTCCTGCCTCTATGCCACAGTACATGTGCCCTTGCCCTGCCAGCACTGCCCTAGGTGTTGCCACACTTTAAACCAGAGTAGTGGTCTCCTTTGCCAGGAAAATAACTCAGAAGTTAATTTGCATCCAAAAGCCAGCTTAGCTGTCAAAACTATAATGCAACAAGAGGATACCTGTGCCAGAACAAGGCTGGGAGCGATGTGTCATGGCACAGAGGCGATGAAAAGTACACTGAGATGAAGGTATCTTAAGTTGGCACTCACAAGCACAATGTCTGTGTTCCTTGCTTAAGCAATACTCTCCTCACTGTCAGATGATGAATCTTCAGCCATCAGGTTTGGTTGTTTAAATGTACTTTGTTAAAGCAATTGCAGCTCCATTAGAATCTTTTTCTTTTACAAATCCAGAGCTCTTTTCAGAGTAAAAATCTGTCCACTCAAAGCCACCCAACTGTTATTCATAAGAAGACTTGAGATGGTGTTATATGACAAAAAATTGCAACAAATAAAAAGCTCTGTGTTGAAGAAAATATTCTCCAACACTGGCAGTACATTTTGTCTATGGAGAACATTTTCAGGTACTCACATTAGGAAATGATACAGAGATAACACTGAATTTTCAGAAAAAAGAAAAAACAAAACAACACCAAAAAGCAGCAAAACCCAAACAGGTTGTCTCTTCTTAATTTCAGAATATAGTTAGGAGTTTTCCTGAAAATGTCATTTACCCTAATGGGAAGAGATATTCCCACAGATGCTGATAGTTTTAGTTACCCTTTAGCGCATAAAATCCTGCTGAGAATTATGCTGAGTAGCTGGAAAGAAAAAGACCAGACCACACATACTAAAAATACAAAACATGCTGCCTGCTGCTGGAGTAAGCTGACTGACTGTACACAGTTTTCTACAAAATACAATAAAATTTATGTAAACCATGGAGCTGTGCTAGCCTGTATCTTACTGTCTGCAGAAACAAGTCTCTGTGATATTGCTTACCAAGGCCTGCTCATGCTGGCTTCTTCCTTCTGGGCAAATCCTCCCTTGCTTGTATTATTGATTGACTTCATTATCACAGAGCAGAGCAGCCAGCTGAGGCTGGGTCCCAATGCACTAGTCCCTGTACAGTGCACACAACAGCTGGACCCTTTGCCATGTGTAGGCAAAGGTGAGGAAGGGATGAAATGAGATGCAACCAGAATTGACATTGCATGGGTCATGTGTTTCACATCAGCACCACAAACATATTTTTCTTTTGCTTCCTTATTTAAACCACCCATGTGGAAACACACTGGGAAGGGGGTTGCTGGGTGTGAAGTCGGGGACAGAAAGGTTGGAGGTGCCAAGGATACTGGGTGGGAGGGTATGGCCTCTTCCCCAGGGAGCGGATGCTGAGTATGAGGAGCAGCCGTGCTTTCCATAGCTCTCCAACTCAGCAGCCCCTCCTTGACATATTCCTCCGTGTGGTTTTCTCCCCTCAAAGCCTAGCAAGTGATGAGAAAGCCCATGGGTGCCAGTGTTACTAGCTGCTGTCTCCTCCATCTATTTCTGAGCCAGATGGAGAGCAGGGACCAAGCTCTGCTTTATCCTTTGGACCTGAACAAGGCTTGTGCAGACTTCTCTATCCCTCCTATCTCCCATCAGAACAGGATTATTCCCTGCATTTATTTTATCTTGCTTAAAAATCACACCAGATGGACCACTACTGCCAGTGTCAGTCCCATGCCTGGATATCCACTGCAAGGAGCTGGTGGGAGCGCTGATGCTGGCCTAAGGTGGGAGATAGATTTTCTGGAGGCTGGGGGCCCTACAGCCTGTCACCCCTGCAATGGCTGAGCACAGGATGTCCAACGTGCTGGATGCCTTGTAAGAGCAGCTCCACTGTGTCTGTCATGGGCCTTGGACATATCATGTGGAAAAGAGCAGCAGGCAGGAAAGGAGCACATCTTACTTCTGCCCCCTCCTGTGGCATTTTTGGAAAGCAGGAGCAGCACACATGCTCTCTAAACCCCCTACAAGCAAAAAATGCAGTTAATTGTGGTGGAGAAAAGACACAGACACTCCCCATGTTGAGTTCCCCTGTGGGGCTGGTGGCTGCTGCCCTCCCAGCCTTCCCCACTGTGCACGGGAATGCTCAGGGCAGCACACTCGGGGCCACAATGCTCCTAAGAAATTTCTTTCACCATCCCTTAGTTTTATAAGGAAAAATGCATTCCCCTTGTCTCTGGAAGAAAAAACACAGCGGGCATTTTTCACTCAAGCCTCTGGAGGCTATGTATGTGGATGATACCAGAACTGACTGTAAAGTGATTCAAAAAGCAGCACTTTTCTGACTTTTTTGCAGTGTCCTTTTGTTTTGCCAAAAGAGAAGTGTCCTCCTCTGGTAAGCTTTTAAAATAATAGCTCATTCCTTTCCCCCCCCCCTTTTGCAATATTGTTTTTCTGCTTGGTTTCCCCCCATCATTCATTCACATTTTAGTTTTCATTTATCTCTGAGGAACGTTTATGTCTAGGTGCAGCTCCCTTGGAGAGACCCTTCCTCAGGACAGCTCTGAGTATTGCTGCTCTGCTAGAAAGACCTCTCTTACATGGAGCTGATAACCCAACCTTCATCCCCACTGGCAGCCTGCTGGGAAAATTAATCCTTTATACCCAGGATTCTTGTAATTTAATTATTTTTGTATTGTTCAAGTGCTTTTTCCACAAGCTGACTTCCCGTAAACATGCACTATACCGCTGTGGTAATACACAAATGGCTTAATCATGCATCTGACAGTTTCTTCTGTGAAACACATTTTCTGCACCTAAATTGTCAGACAGGCCACTTGCTGACACCAGAATTTAGATATCTAATCTCTTCTGACAACCTAAACCAGAACTAAACGTTGCTCACTGGGAGGTGAACTGGAGAACAATGGCACTTGCCAGCCCTCATTCCCATCTTTGTGCGCCACACACACTTCAGCCTTTGCCTGGCATTAGTCCATGCTTCAGATGAGAGGTCACTCAAGGCAACAGAAAACAGGCTCCAGGCAACATAGAACATTTGTAGCTATTGTTTTAAAGTGCATGTTTTACATAATACATTTACGAAAAGGCAAAAGACCCCAATTTTGTCCCCTGAGTGGCTGTCTTTAGCAAAAGCACCCATCTGGCAGCTGCACTCCTGCTCCCATTAGACTCCTGGAACACAAAGCCTCTTATGCTTGGCCAAAAGCTCTGACTGTTTCTGCAGAAATACCAAACTACAGTGTGTCCTGGAACCACAAATACTGAGGAGTTCTCCCTACGTAGGTAGAGTGCTCTAATGGTTTGGGCTCAAGAATATCTGGTTTATACTCTTGATGGTGTCACTGACTGACTGATGAACTTCAGCAAGTTACCATTCTTAAGGTTGTTTTACTTTCTATTTCTTCTCTCTGAAAATGGTCTTGAAGGCTAGGATTTGTTTTCATAGTACTTGGCAAAACTGTCCCCAAACCCAGCCTGTTGGATGTTCTAGGGAGACAGAGTTATTCTAATATTGCAGAATATTGTAAAGACATGTAAGATATCCAAATGCACTGAAACGGACCTTAAGTAGATACCACTCTGATAATTCATCACAGAAAAAGGCTAACACATGTCACACATTGAACCTTAGGATCATTTGCTGACAGGAGAGGAACTGCCTGCTTGTACTGGATTCACTTGTCAAATTAACAAAATCCTTTTAAATGCAAATCACCACAGGGTCTCATTTAAACCTAAGCACAGTCCATAAAGCCTCATATCCTCTCTTCTGCTACCTCTTGGGTCCACTTGAACTGGTCTAATTTCTCAGGGCATGCTTTTCTAGAGAATTCTCCTCTCAAACCCAAAACTGCTGTACCTGCATGAGTAACGTGATGTAGGAAGTACAAACATCTACTACTTATTCAGGGCCAGGGCCTGCTGGTTCCTCAGAAGTAGTACCACACTCTCTGAGTAAATGCATTGATGGCCACTGAGCTGGTCAAGAGTATGCCACTACCCACTACAAACTGTGACCACTGTGGGAGCAAAATCAGCAGGCAGACACCAAGAAGTGCCTAGTGCTAACACCTGGAAAAGGAAGACATTCAGGTCTGGTTCTGGTTCTGGTTCCCACAAGTTATAAATCCCTTTCCAATGAACTTGTCTTTAGAGCTGTAAGTGCAAAATGTAAAAGAAAAAGACACAGTTTTAAGAAGTTCATTAAATTAGCTCCTTTGCATATTCAGGAAAGAACAGACTGAACTTAACTGATACAATGTTTGGAATATTCCCACCACCATGGTGTTCAGCTGGGTGCTAAGCCTCTCTCCCCAACAGGGTCAGTGGAGACATTAGCTCCTCCAGGCAGTGATTCACAGCACCCAAGCTGGAAGCCTACAATTCCACACAGGAGGTAGGAATGCTAGAAAGTACACCCTAGTGAGCCCACATCCATCCATTAATGGCATATGCATTGCTTATGGCCAGGCGAGATACAGCTGGATTTGGGCACTCTGACCTGCAGTGTCATTCCCAGAACCTGAGTTATCCTACTTGAGTACTTCTCCTCTCAGCTCCTGCATCACAGGCACTTGCCAAGTTGCTTTCCAGTCTACTTGCCTACTTTTCCCAAATGACTCCCACCTCCCTGGCAAGAAACCAACTTGCAAATGATTTGGAAATCTGCCTCTGCCAAAATAGTATCTCTGCTGTTTGACCAGAAAATCTGTGTTTCAGATGTCTGCAGGAACAGAAATCCTGTCCTTTCACTAGTTGCAAACTTGAAAGGAGTTCAAGTAGAGGAAACCAAGAGAACGCTGTTCACAGTGGATTTCTAGAGATGTGGGAAGCTGGCTCTGGCAGGCCTCCAGACAATTTTAAAATACCAGCGGATACCACTCTTGGGATAAAAA